GGGGGGGAAGGTTTGGCAGATGGGAATCTCGGCGGAGGTCAAACCGTGCACGCCTGGATGCCTGGTTCCGGATTCCCTCCTCTGTAAGGAAACACAAAGGCTGATCATCTGTTGGAAAGTTTTCCTTCCTGTTCCTGTCACTTAATATCTTCCCCCGCCTCGGTACAGGATGATAAGGGATGGCTTTTTCCCTGCTGGAGCATCAAGAGGGGAAGGAGAAATCCCCACGGCAAAACTCCTCTCAGAGTCACTTCTGCTGCTTGCGAGGTGATGGATCGCGATGAAATGCGAAAGGAGTTCCTATCCCTCCCTCCCTCCCCTTCAAATTTTGTATCCCCTTCAAATTTTGTATCTGGAGTCCCTCAGATTAATTCTTGATGTATATGTAATTTAACAAAAGACCAAAGACAATTTTTTTTTTTTTTTTTTAGTGTTTTTTTTTTTTTCTTTTCCCTCCAACTCTCTTCCCACCAACCCCCCCCCAAGTTCAGGGGAAAACATGGCGCTGTAAAGAGATTACAAATAACCAGTGGTTTGGGATATGTATAAATGTATGTGAGACTCGGAGCGGGAGCTTCGACAATTCTGGAAAAGGAGAGAGGGAGGTGGTCCCCTCTCGGCGGGTAGAGGGCAGTAGAAAGTCCGGCGAGCTGGTGAGGCAGCATCTGTCCAAAAAAGAAAAAAAAAAAAAAAAAAAAAAAACCAACCCAAAAACACTACCAACTTGCATTTAAAATGATGCGCTGGTTTGAGAGTGCCAAACCCCGTCCCTTTTAGCGGGCAGCTAACCCTGGGCCTGGCGCTCAGGATTAGTTTAAAACTCCGTCTGCCTCCCTCGCAGAGAAATTGCAACCCAAAAGCGGAGCAGGGTGCTGTGTCCCGCCTGTACGAGGACCAGTGCCCTCAGCCTCCGCAGTTGCTGCTTGGGTAGGACCCGGCTCCAGGGTTAAAGGCTCTGCTGTTAAACCCTTCAAAATGGCCCTAAACTACTTTGAAGCCCTTGGTCGACACCGTGTTGCTGAATACGTATGTTGCTGTAGCCTCTCTATTATTATTTTTAATATGTATTGGAAAAGCTTTCTTAAACAGCAGAGTACAAGCAAAGAGGAACCGACCTGGTTTGGAATGGGTTTCTCTTTTTGCATGTTTTCAAGTAAAAGCTCGGCTTAAACAGCCTCCCCCACCTTGGTTAAAGGAACTAAAAGCCTGCAGTCATTAAATGCCTTAATGTTCCAACTCCCTTACTGTATCGCAGTACGGACGGCTCTGGCAGTTTAGGAGTATTTCATTCCTTTGAAGTGATGCAATCTGTACGTTGCTGTAGTTCAACTCGTAACACGTCCCATCTACTGTTGAAAATCGTATGAAGCATTCGTTGGCAAGGTTGCGTTTCAATTAGTGTTGCAGTTAGGAACTAGTTCCAGCTGTCCCTATAGGAACAGCCAGGGAGATAAGTTATCTATTTAATTTTCCTTCTCGTAAATGAAAAGCAACTGAGCTGAACTGTCAGCCTAATAAATAGTCCTGGAATACCTATTACTGAATTGTCAGGCAACTGGCTCATTCTAAGCGACAGAAGTAACGTGGTGTTCTTTATGGTGTGTGTTGTGCACGAGGGGTGGCAGCGAGGAAAAAGGGGACTCGATGTACTACCTCCCATGACTGAAATGAGGTCCATTAGCTTTATTTTTTTTGATCGTGGGGACCTAAACAGTTGTGCAGTTCACAGGCACGCTTGCAACAGGCTAGGCTGGTGATGCCTGATGTGTGAGTGGTACTAAGCCGTGCCTTTATCCATTGATGGAATAAAGGCTATGGGGTTTTTTTATTTTTTTTTTTTTTCATCCAGTGTACTAGGAGTGCAAACCCTTTCCTACCCCAGTTCGAGGAGTAAGAAATGGAAGTGACTTACAGAACTGTGTGAACAGAAATTAATGTTTTTACCCTCCTTCCTGTCTCTAGCCGTTTCTTCCACTGCAATTTTTTACACTGAAATGACCCCTACTGGCTACAGTTATAAGCATTTTTTTTTTTATCGTTTTTGAAGCTTCAGCAGTGTCTTTTTTCAGAGTATCAACACATACTAAGCTACAGAAAACTTGAAGAGCTGGAATTGCAGCAGGTAAAAATACTTGCCTGTTAACTTTAGTTCTAGTATTTAACGTGCTCGGCGTAAGTGAACTCCGTAACGCCTGATGGAGAAGTCTCTGTGGCATCTGTCACTGGTCGCCTCTCTTTCTGAAACTAGAAACGGAGCAGTCTTTGTTAAACCAGTGCTTATTAATGAAATCTGTTGTTGATTCTGGGTTCTCTTCTTTATCCTTCTAAAACCTGAAGGAAGTCTTTGTTCATCTTGCCTCCTTAACTGTTCACATCCTTATGCAGTTCTAAGGCTCCATTTGTGGTGTGATCCTGAAGTATGTAAATCCCCTTCCTGAATGTCGTTGCATTCTTGGTAAAGAATAATTCTGAGGTCAGCTTCCCCCGGCGCGGGCGGGTACTTCTCCCAAAGGGCAATCTTGAGAGACTTTATAAACATCTCCAGCCTCTCTGTTGGCTTTACAGGGATGCTGCTGGCGTGGTGCAGTGAGGCGTCGAGAGCCTTATGGCCACTTCCAAACACTCTTTAAGCATTCAGAAGTCTTGAGCTCAAAGCAGGGACTGCACTTGCTCTCTGCCTTTGAAGGTAAACCTAGGGCCACCCCCTAATTAGACTAGAGTCCTCCAGAAACACATTAACCTTGGCTTCTGCAGCAGTCTGGCTGGGCAGGGCTCCTGCCTTCTGGAGAGTCAGAAAGCCTTGGGAAAGCTCTGCTGAAGAAGTTCTGTTACTCTGTGAAGGCGTTTCTTGCGACAATTCTTTTCTTGCTTCTGTCAACGTGTCCCCAATTTCTGGTGCCCTTAGATGGAGAGGCCTTGATTGCTTTGCTAAACTCTGCTAAGGCATAACAGTAGCATATGAAATAATGCTGAAAAGGAGCTGATATTATTTTTAACTGTCTAATAGAAACATAAGTTTTAGTGGTATATACTTGAAATGCAAAGTTAACGCAACTTAGCTTTACTGTGTCCTTAGATTCCTTTAAGAATATACTTCTATATAAGTTAGCCTCTAGGTAGCCATTGAAAGAAGGTAGTTCTGCTCCAGTAGCTTACCAGTAGTGTGTAGTACCTTGTTTGGGGTTTTTGCGTTGGGTTTAGTGGGGTTTGGTTTGGGTTTTTTTTTGGGGGGGGGAGTACAGTTATTGCTGTACTGTAGCTAATTTAAGGCTTGCCTTGAATACTTGAGGCTTGTTTGCCTAGTCTGTAGCTTCTGAACCAGGGTTCCCTTGGGACCAGGAGAAAGCCACTGTAGTGGATTTCAGGCAAGTATCAGGAAGTATGTGGGTTGATCCTCTAGGATGGTGGTAGAAGCTTGCCCTACTTGCTAGTCCTAGTCTCTTCCACTGAACTGCAGCTTGTTGGGAGCTTGGGGCAGTACGGTGTGTCTGACCGCTTGTTGGGACAAGTGGGGAGAATTGCACAGAATCACTGAATGGAGGGGTTGGAAGGGACCTCGGGAGATCACCCAGTCTAACCCCCCTGCTCAAGCAGGCTCACCCAGAGCAGGGGGCACAGGACATTGTCCAGGCGGGCTTTGAATATCTCCAGAGAAGGAGACTCCACAGCCCCCCTGGGCAGCCTGGGGCAGGGCTCGGTCACCCTCAGAGTCAAGAAGTTCTTCCTCACGTTCAACTGGAACCTCTTATGTTTCAGTTTGTGCCCGTTGCCCCCTGTCCTGGCACTGGGCACCACTGGGAAGAGCTTGGGTCTTTCCCCACACACACGTACCTTTAAACCTGCTGTGAACTAACCTGTAATAGAGTATGATACGTAAGGGCATAGTATATTGTACATAACCAAAGCACAGTGAAGCTGGAGCTGATGAGAAGAAATGAAGTTTTGAAAACAGGTTTTTTTTTTCCAAAATTGGGAGGAGGAGAGATAAGCTGCTTTTTTTTTTTTTTTTTTGGGGGGGGGGGGGGGGGCACTGGTTTACACATCTGCTAATGGAGTTCTGCTTTTCTGACATAACAGCTTGCTTACAGACTTGCTAGTATTTTTATCATGAGCAGTGCTGCTGCTTGTAACTTCTGTAGCTCGTACCCTTGGTTGAACCGTGTTTTCAGTGGGTTTTGGTCCCATGCTCTGTATCTAATGGGTCCATGGACCCAAAGGCTAGAACATGAGGCTTTTTCCCCCAACAGACTTCTATACAACGTGCTTGACTTCTTGCCTGTGATGCAGTCCAGACCCCTAAAGATCAGGTGGTGTTTTGCTTTGAGCGCCAATTACTGATGTTGAAGTGATTTAGAAGTCGCATGTGGGTAAGGTAACCTGGTGGTTCTTATCTGCTTGATGGGAATAGTGCTGCCCACTTTCCTTAACGTTTTTGTTTGTTTCCTTAACGTTTTTGTTTGTTTCCTTAACGTTTTTGTTTGTTTCCTTAACGTTTTTGTTTGTTTTTCTTACTCTGTTATGTAGCGAATGGCTGGGGAAATGTCCAAATAGTTCCGATGTCCACCTGTGTATGGAGAACTTCCTCCACTATCATCAAGCATTAGAACTGATGATCCTGTTGGGGACTTAATCAGTATTAAGTGGTGCCCCAAATGACTGCTGGCTTGAAGACGATCAAAATGCTTGGTTTGGTAACTGCCAGCAAGCCAGACCATTGGGAGAAAAAATGGAAAAGTTATTCAGGGTGTCAAAAAAAAGAAAAAAAAAAAAAGATGAAAATTACTGAAACTTGTGAAACTGGAATGGGAAGTAATGCTTTGATGGTGAGTGGTTGGTGTCTGCTATGCCAGTCTTGACCATGTGTAACAGTCCCCTTCGCCCACCCTGCAGGAAACACTGGGCACACGCTGGCTTCTTATGCACA